TTTGAATTCCAATACTGAAGGGAAAGATTAAAAAGAAATGTTTTTGTTTGTGTTAGCGTTTGATGATATATAATAGCATAACATAATTATGTACTGAATTATTGATTTTGTTTGTGTTAGAGAGCAAGGGCATTCAAGGTAAAAGGATTATCATCAAGAAATGGTGAAGAAGGATATGGTGGAGGGGTCCCTTGCTTTCATCCAACTTGGCATCTCTGGTTATTTCAGTTTTGGGGACTTCTATGATTCTGTCTCATGTCATGACCACAGAAAATTAATAGATTAAGAGGACACTCCATATTTTGTCCTCTTATTTTCAAATTAAATCTTCCATTTGTTTCCACACCATGTTGGAGCTAAATGTGGATATACCTAAGGGAGTATGATAGTTAGGTCCCAAAATGCTGAATTAATATCAGTTAAATTCCTGACAAAATTTTCTACAAAATGAATTATAAATATCAATTCAAACAATAATAAATAGAAATTTTTGCTATAATTTAAAAATACATTTAATATTTAAATACTTATTTATAATTGAAACTCTTAAATTTGAAATAATTTATATCGATATTTTTAACTTATTTTTTAAAAAAATTTATTGAAAATTTAATTGCTATTAATTTAATATCTAGAGGCCTAATTTTGATTCTTTCTCTACTTAATTAAGTTCCTGTTTGGATATATTACGCACAACGCACATGAAGCCCTTTAGTCCATCAGAAGGCCTCGTTGACAACATTAATTGTCACCAACTGCATTGCTACATATATTAAGTTTCTCGAGACCGAAAATGACAAATAGGAGTTTCACTGTTTTTGTCCAATTTCCCAAGTGATAAGGAGATAATGAAGAGGGAATGAAAACGATGGAAGCGTGCTGCTCAAGAGTGTAACATGGGGGTTGGTCCAAAGTATGGACATTGATTGGTCCTCCATATGATGATGTACAGTACCACTCCACCCATATTTTAATTTGACCGGGCTGAAATAAATCAAGACGCAAAAAAAGAAGTTTCAAATTAATTAAGATATTGTTTTTACGTCATATAATTAAGCTCGTTCAAATTATGAGAATTTTAACTGAGGATCGTATATGTGACTTAATTACTAATAAATTATAAAAAGAAATTAAATTTTCAATTCAGTTGAAGAGGATTAAAATAAACATAATTTTAATAGTGAGAATATTAAAATACCTCTCACTTGTCAATTTTGTTCAAGATACAGAATTATTAATTATTAATTTTTTTATTTTATTTGTTAACAATTAATGTTAGTAAATTAACAAGTAAAGTTAGCAATTTAACAACTGATGTTGCCCCTTGTGATTGAACAACAATATTCAAATCTTATATAATTATTGATGAATCAATTCATGTAACTTACAACTCATATTAATAAATTAACAAGCGAAGTAAAAAAATTAATAATTAATGATTATGCATTCCGAACAACATTAACAAGTAAAGAATAATTTAGTATTTTTATCGTTAAAATTATTTTGCTTTAATTCTCTTGAATTGAATTAAAAATTTATTTTTTTAGATCTATTGGTAATTAAGTGACATTCATAATCCTTAATAAAAATTATACCATGTTTAAAGTTAAACTAGTTAATTGTATCACTACCACTACACGCGCGCACACATTGTAAGTCTCAATTGTTTGATTGTTTTTTCATACAGTTAATGAATAAAATCATACAAGATCATATACTCAATTTTAAATTATAAAATATTTTTAAATAAAATTTTATATATTAATAAATTTTATTAAATACACTTAATAACTTTATTTTTTTAAAATAAAAATATAAACTTTTAAAAATACCCATCATTTAATATATTAGAAAGAGAAAGAATGAAAATTAATTGTAGAGAGAAAGGATAATATTGAAATTGATACATTTAATTAAACCTTAATTTATTTAAAGTATTTTATATTTTAAAACGAATAAACTACTTTAAAAGTGCTATATAATTTGATATGAAGGTAGTATTATGTATAACATTATAGTATATACTTCTATGATCCTATTATAAATCACTTCTAATATTTTTTATAGTACTAAGAAAAATTTTAAAATTCATTAACTTTATCTTAAAATTTAATAAGTTCTCAACTTTACTCTTATTAAATATACGCACTTCAATAATATATTTTTTTTAATATTTAATTGAGGGTAAAAAAATTTATGATAAAAATTTAATAACATAATTTATAAATGAGATTAAAAAAATTCTTGCGTAAATTGTAAAATACATATGCGCATCTCATAATAACCATCATTGAGAGCCAACGTCATCATATAGAAAGTTTAAAAGTAAGCAAGGCGCCTTTCTTGAAGGACGTGCAGCAAAGACAAGAAAATAAAAGCAGCAAGTAGCATGCGAGGGGGGGGGGGGGGAGGGATTTTCAAGTTCGAGTAATTAATACAAAAAAAAAAAAAAAAAACAACAACAACAACGATACTTTCACCGAAATTCTAATTTGTTGGTTATCTCCATAATTTTTTCTTAATACCCTGTTATACTCTCATTACTTCAATTTATAAAACACTTAATAAAATTATACATATCAATAAATTTTAATAAATATATTTAATAACTTTACTATTTTTAAAATAAAATATAAACTTTTAAAAATATTTTTATTTAATATTTCATTTATAAGAAAATATTAGAAAAATATATATATGAAAAAAAAATATTAAAAAAATAGTATTTATGAAATATTAATTTTTTCAAGTGCACGAATCTTTTTCAAAAATGTATTGTAGTAATCTGGGATGAAGAGAGTACATAATTTCATATGTCAATTTGATTTAATGGCCATGCATTTATTATTACTTAAAAAATGCTCGTGAAAACAAGATCATAATATTTCATTATAACAGTAGTTAAATAAATAAATATTAAATGATAATTTGGACCATAATCTATAAGTGTAAGGTGATTTGAATCTTGAATAATTAAAACTTAAAGTAATCTTGCCTCCATCATTAATTTGGAATTAACAGCATATGACAGTGAAAAGGTGGGCAAAGTAAATTAACAGCATATATTTAGTTTAATTCTACAAGTAGAGATCTTACAGCACTAAACCAAATGGACAGTTACATATTCCTTTGTTTTTAAATGTAAGCAAACTTTAACCAACTCATGTAATTTTAAAAAGTTAGTCAAGTATAATAATTATAAAAACTTTCTCCAATAATTAAAAATAGAGAGAGTAAACAAAAGAGATTGCGTGTGCGTAGATGTATTTGAGAGAATGTATAGAATTTTGTAACCTCTAAGATTTAGACTTGGCTTTTCTCTATTTATTTTCTCTCCACTTATCATCCCAACCCTTGGATCAAATTTTCAATAGTTAGGATTTAGTATTTCATAAAATTTAAATTTTTTAATTACAGCCTTGAATCTTGAATTTTAGTTTAGATTAAATTTGTTATATTTTAAATTTATTTATTTATTTTTCATAATTTCATATTTTAATAATAATTTTATGAAATGCTAAATGCTAACCATTCAAAATTTGATCCAAGGATTGAGATAGTAAGTAGAGGGAAAATAAATGGAGAGAAGCTAAGTCCCTCAAATTAAGAAAATAACTAACACTATTTTTCTCCTTTTATTTTGTGATTAATAATATGTATGTGTTGATTTCTTAATGCTTCAAAGTGTTTGGATACCATTTAAATATTTTGTTCATTTGAGCAATGTTTGATAGGGCTAACTTAAGTGTAGAATTGAGATAAAATTATTTATGAACTTGAAGTTTGCGATAAATGGATGGTTTAATTGGTAAGATATAGATATATTTGCTAATATTATATAGCCATATTTAAGTTGAAGCTTAAAAATTGGGTTTTTTTTATTGTAACAAGAGATTGAGCAATTAATAAAATTAATAAGCACTCTTTCTTGATGATTTGAGAAATCTTGTTAAAGTATTTTCAAAACCTTAAGCTAGCACTTATATTCATTAAAAACATTTGAGAGGAGGTAAGTTCAATGTTATAAAATGCAAGGAGGAATAAATATTCTAGGTCCCATTTCATTGTTGAAGTTTAAGAATAACTTGTTTTCATCATTTTCCAATTTTAAAATAGTTTCCAAAATCAAACTTTATCATCTAATTTTGCTCAGCTCAACTCAGTTAAATTCATGTCATCTTTTATTTGACCATATTGTTAATACAAATCTTTGAGGGAATAATTTTTTTCATTATTATATTATTTGTTACGATCGATGCAATTACGAAGCAGAAAAAATTTATACCCCAATTTGGTACGTTACTTTAATATTGTGAGAGGGATAGAACACACCCAAGAACTTCATGTTTTTTGTAGGACTCGCAAATGAGAAAGTGGAACCTATCATTATGGACCTGGTTTTGTCTCGTGGTGCCCCTCCTGTACACATATCAATAGCTTTTTTTTTTTCCTTTAATTTTAGACGTTTTTTTTTCTTTTCGAAATCCACTTCTCTATGTGAAGAAACTCAATCCACCATTCTGTGTTTAATTCTCCCCCCACTGTCGGTGAATTTATTTTATCACATCCATGTTATGTGAGTGTCTTTGTTAGGTGATTGATCATATTGGCCTCAAATCACTTATGAAATAATGGGAGTAATTAATTAAGTAAATAACCAAATTATAACTCTTTACTCTTCATATATAAATAAGCATGATATCATTGTCCCAAAGAAAAAAAACATGATAGCTTCAAATCAATTAAAACCCGCTGGTAGAGGAACCCCCATGACATTGTCACTTGTTCTTTACTTCTCAGCAAATATAGGATGGTCCTTCTATGGAAACCGAAAACACTGGTCCTTCTTCCATTTCTCCATTATTCCTACAAGCATGCTTCAGTTCATACACTTCACTATTTTGAACTCTCTCTAGCTCTATAAATTGAATCCATTCAAGCTCCCATAATAATTAACACAGACTCTAGAGATAACCAAATATATTCAGTTCCATAACGAGATGAGGACTGCATTAATTGCATTGTTTTTCCTTCTCTTTGCCTCGTGTTCCGAAGCTGATGATGTTGTTCTTGACGTCGAGAACAATCCTGTTAGACCTGGGAAACCCTACCACATTCGTGATGCCACGAACTGCGAGCACGCGATTTCACTTGATCTTATCGGAAACCAAACTTGCCCTATTTCGGTGGTGATGGCCATTGATCCAAAGCAGGTGATTTTTCACTCGATCAAACACAAAGAAGTAGAAAACATCACCGCTAGAGATCCCTTGGAGATCGAGTTCTCATGGACATCTGAATGCGCGAATCCACCAAATTGGAGAGTTCAAGCCGATGCTTGTGCTGTGTATCCTCTTGTGGTTGGTCCGCCTGACAAACGTCACGTTCCTGGTTCATTTCGTGTTAAGAAAGCTAAAGATGAACGTGATGCTTATAATCTTGTCTTCAATCTTCATGAAGTGGATGAGCATGTTGTTTCAATCCGAAGCTACAACGATAAAGAAGACCTCTCGGTTTTGAAGCTTTGTTCGGAGGAAGGGCTCAAGGTCAAGTTCTATCCTATTGGACGTTATTAACTTGTTATGCAGACTTTGTTGCCCTAATGCATGAAAAGAGAAGCACTTAACGAGCTTTCTTATATATTGCTCTAAATAAAGTTCTATCCTATTGGACGTTATTATCTCTTGCTATTATTTCTTATTAACGTTCCTCGATTTCGCTTGTTCCCTTCATTGTCTTGCTTGGACTTTGATTGACCAAAGAACCAATCAGGTGCTCGGAAAAAGAGCCAAAAAAACTAATATTAAGAGTTAAATAACATGGCATTTTTTAACAACAACTTAGATTAAGATTGCTTTAAATAAATATTAGAAATATTACGTATCAGTTGCAAGCATGATATTAAGAATATTTTAAAGAAAAATGATAAAAATAGTTATTGAATTTATAAAGTAAATAAATAGTGGATAAATAGCAATAAATGATTTGATTTATTTTTTTTTTCCAGAAGATTTGATTTTATGTTAATATCACGTGCTAGAAAGGATTTGAGACAAAGTTAGATTCTTTGAAAAATTAAAGAAAGGACTTTTGAAGGCAATGTTTCATGATACCCGTGCAAAGCGTGGTGATTCATGAAAAAATCGGCCGACACAAGATATACTATCGTCTATATCAAGGATTTTGAAGGTAAGATTGTACAAGTTGTTTCTTTCATCAGCAACTTTCTTAATCCAAAATGAATCTTTCAGGGGTGGAGAAACGTGAGGGGAACTAACCATTAAATGGTATTGTGTTTGCTGTGTTTTAGTTACATGGGGAATCAAACGGTGAGTTTCTAGTGTCTTTTGCACAATTTTCCCGGAGTTAAGTGCTAATTTTTTTAATAAAAAATGAAGAACTAGAGATGGAACAAATGTAATAATTCCATTGTGTGCTGGCCAAAAAAAAATCCATTGTGTGAGTAGACATGACATTGATATTGATATAAAAAATTATAGAAAATATAATATGGAATTAAAATAAAAGAAAAATGCTTGAGCGGTGAGGCTGCAGTTTCTAGGGGAATTTGTCAGAATTTTTGCAAAAGGAAGTGCCTGTACATTATCTTTGTGCCAATTCATGTGTTGTAGGGATTTGAGGGTATGAAGGAGCTTTGCTTCTCTTTTTATAAGCTAAAACACAGTCCCCCCCCCCCCTTCTTGGCTCCATACTCCACTTCTTTTAGGGTCATCTCTTGCAATTATCCCCAAGTTTGCTCAATTCTTTTTTTTATAAAAAAAGTAGTTTAGGTGAGTTAGGTTATAGGAACCTATCACAATAGGGCATGCCTCCAAACTCAAAGATCTCTTACAAAGGTACCTACAAATTGCCCATCAACAATATCCTCATATTGGCAACAGGATTTAATCCGTGGCCTTATAGGTTATGAGCCAAATTCTTATTAACTAGACCAACCTTTGTTAGTTAGTTTTCTCCACTCTTGCCATTTGTAAAGATGCCTTGGTTACCACTTTTTGATGAAAGTAACCTCAGCTCCTTCCTTCTAGAAACAATGGCCATGGCAAAATAGAATTAGAATTAGCCCAAGCATATGTGTTCCATCCTTATGAACTGCAATGATGAGCTCAGAAGATGAAGCGCACTTAGAAACTGAACCGAATGCAAACACAGGTTCATTTGTGCTTATACTATGACCTAACTCATGTGGCTGATCATCCTCAACATAGACAAGCTTAGGATCAATGCCTACCACCATAGCAATGGGGCAGTAGGATGTATCTTCGGCTTGATTGAGTTCAACTCCAAGCTTATAATTGGTGGCGTTTAGAATGTGGTATGACTTCCAAGCAACGTACTAAAAGTTGGACTAGTCATTGAACTAATTAATGCAATAGTTCAAGGTTAATGGTAAAAATTATAGTCGAATCATAGTTAGACCGACTATAGATAAAACATTTACTGATCAAGGCATTAGTTCAACAATTTACTGATTTAACTAGTCAGGTTGACCCAAATTTCATAGCTATGCTTCTAAGGGACAACAGGGTTGCAATTGGTGTCAAGCATACTAGGGTTAGGGTTTGGTGTTGTGTGGAGAAGACAAAGTGAAGGAAAAACAAAGCAGGCAAGGCAGTAGATCTTCATTGTAAGTTGAGTATACTGAGAGGACTGAAATGTGAAAGAAAAGTGAGGGTGTGTGGCGTGCATGGAAATGGGATCTTGCATGGATTCTATTTATAGAGCTAGTAAAGATGAGAGAATGGAAATGCGTAGAATATGATTGACTGACTAAAAATGTTATTTTTTTCCCCTTGTGATGTGGAAATCTTTCATTGTCTTATTCACACATTTCCATCGAAGATCAAACTTGTCTCTTGCCCATTCTTCCCTCTAATTACCACTTCCCAGTACGGCTATATATATATATATATATATGATGTAGTATAATACAAAATATTATATTAGGGATAATTCTTAAACTAAATTTTGAATTTTTCTAATTTATAAATAAATTAAAATATATTAAAAATATCAGAAAAAGAAAAGTAAATATTTCTAAAATATCCTTATTTTAACTTTTGGGGAACCATGCGGTCTTGGGTTCTAATCCCCCAAGACCACCCTTCCCAAAATTATCCCATTACTGATCATCACCTGAGCTTTAGCGATCAGCGTTGGATGGTATAAATTTTTTTAAAAAAATATTAACATAAGGTATTTCAGTAATTATACACAAAATATTTAAAATAAAAAATTTGCTACTTGAGAGTAGTTTGTACATTTCATGAGATCTTATAGTAATTAGAATCCTTATGAGGAACTTTGTAGTGATTTTCCTGAAATTTTATTTCTAACATTGAAAACTATTACCCATCCATTTTAGGGAATAGATTTGATGTTGCCAAATATTTGTTGTTTAAAGTAAAGATCAATAACAATAATACATGAAAACTTATTGCTCATTCAAACATTAGACAATATTTCTAGAATTGTTACAAAGCAAAATATTGCCTACAGCTAAAAATATGATGTTGATGAGTTAGCAGCTAGCAATCATGAATTCAATTAAGATGGCCGCAATGGTAGTAGTGGTGGCTGGCAATGTAATTGGCAGCACTGACGTAGAACATTTCCAACATATGACGAGCATGTTTTTTGCTTCATCTAGAAAACAACACAATCAAGGTCCTTAATTATTTGTGATTTACACAATTTCTCAATCCCACACTCTCTCCAGTTCAAATAAAACAATTTTCTCCTATTTAAATTTGGTTAAAGATATAAACAACTTAGTACTTGTAATTTTTTTTTTCATTTTACTCCCTGGATTTATTAACTTAGAATCTCATATATGTTGGTGAATTTATGATTTTTTTACCCATAATAAATTGAAACTAATGATAATATATATATATATTATGAAAATAAGAATTTTATTGATATGTAAATTATTATTAAAATTTGTTTGTATTTTGGAATTGAGGGAGTGAATATTATACATTTCATTTTGGATTATCTCTACATTTGCAGGGGCCCCAGATCCTACGTTGTCCTATTTGTCTCATTACACAGAGATAGAAAAGGAAGCGCTTATTCTGAGGAAACACATGTGAGTAGGGTGAGAAGCAAAATAAAGCAAAGTGAAAGGGATGTAAAACCAAATCGATATTGACAAAACCTAATATGAAAATGATCATCATTTCTCGTTCCCTGCTCTTTACTTTCTATTTAGCAAATTATAGAAAACAACTTCAAAAATTATAAAAAATGATTTAGAAAATTACAAATATAAATATCATATAAAAATTTTAATACTGATTAGTACGCTCTATCAATTACAAATAAATACTAAAAGACAAATGTTATTTCTTTTACATGTTGAAGACTAAAATTTAATTTTGACTAAGTATTTTGATCGGTTGACAGGTGATTATGAGATCACCATTATTGATAACAATATAGGTAAGTAATTAAAATAATATTTTTGTTAAAATAGTAATTGGTTCAAAGTAGCTGATTAAAATAGTATTTTGGTCTCTTATATAAGAAAGAAATAACATTTGTCTCTTAGTATTTTATTTAAAATTTTAAAAAATTAATCAATATTAATTTTATTATAAGAATAGGATACGTATTTATAATTTTTTTTTATTTTATGTAATTTTTGAAGTCCTTTTTTGTAATTTTTTAATTAACCAATAATTAAATTTAATATTTATTAATAATATGGGCGACATTACACTTGTGAGTGTAGGGTTTAAAAGTCTTAAACCTATAGTTTAATGATGAAATTTCTAGAGAAAATTAGCTCAACGACTTCAAAAATACAACTTCCATAAATTATGGATGAGGTTTTTGAATATTTTAAAATATAGATCATTTATAAAATCAATTAGATGTGTTTTTTCTTTTTTATCCTCATAATAAATTTATTATTAAAATAAAATATATCTGATTTAACTAATTTTTAACTGATTGACTCTTTCATTTTTATCATCAAAAATAGTATCGCGCGTGCTCCCTTTCTTATTATCATCTCTAAATATTTTTTTCATTATATTTTTTGATTTGATTTCCCTGGATCATCATATTCATCTCTCGTATAGTGTTTTTCTTTATTAGAATTTTTGATCTGATTTGCTTAGATCACCATCTTCATCGCAAAGCTTTTCCTCTCTCTCCCTCTTTGTTTTTCGCAGATATTACGAAGAGGACGTTAGACATTGAAGAGAAAACTCCATTACTGATAAGCGATATTACATCATTGATATACGACGATAAGGTAAATTTTCGCTGATATGGCTTATATATCAGTGATATATAATAGTATATAACTGATATATTATTGTAGATCGACAAAACCAAACAATCAAATGTAAACTTATTTATAATTGAGTCATATATTAATAATGTAGTATTGCAGATCAGTAATACGAAAAACGCATAATCATTTACCTAAAATAGATCAAACATAGTCCACAAAAAATTTTAGACTCTTAGCTTATCACAAGAAATCAAATACTTAACTAATAAAATAAAAAATCATTAATCTGTAGCTCTGTTTTCCCACTGG